ATATATATATATATATATATATATATGGGCTTAAAGCTAAAGAAACTTCTCTCATTCACAAAGCATGGGATACAGGTTCCTCTGCAACCAAGGTTCTCCGTCAATCTGGCAAATCGTCTTCATATATATATACACAACATTACGCATATGAACACAGATACATATGTGCTCAGTGGTATACATACATGTGCACAAAATACTGATAAATGCGCACAAACGTAAGTAAGTATATTCACATACAATTACTCTTATATATAAACGCACAAATACGTACGCCGAACCATGTACACTTACATATATACACAATCACAAACCTACATGCATGCATATTTGAAAATAAAAGGTACATACATACGTACAAACATTTTCCATATATATATGTGCACATGTATATGTACGCTTGTTAGTGTGTATGTATCACTAACAAGCGTACATATACAAACTCAAACTTACGCATATAAATATTCATTCGCATATATGCACGCATGGATAAACTCGCCCGTACCTACATGTATAAGAATGCATTACATACATAAGTGGAAATGCACTTATTGCTGTGGCTTCACACATAATCATGCTTAGAAAAAAAAATAAAGATTAACGCACTTATATTTAAGCATGCATGTTTATCCATATTAATACTCATAGAGAAATACATATTTAGAGTTAACATAATGCATATTTGTCTTTATATATATATATATATATACAATATAAATAAACCCCTCATTTTCGAAAGAATTAATTTACTTTGCAAAAAGGTGAAGTACCCCACCGGTTATACCCCCAGGCACAGGGTACCCAGTTTAGTCGCCCGCCTTTTATGATATGCATGGGCTACAGTGGGGCTATTCTAACCTGGACCCATACGGAAGTCAGTCAAATCTCTCTATCTATCTATCTATATATATATATATATATATATACAGAGAGTTATCGAAATAATGGAAACACCATAGATTTATTCATAAAGAATCCTTTATTAGTATGGGGTAAGACCGTCTTTGCATGTAATACAGCTTGGATTCGCTTAGAAATTGATTCATACAAGTGCTGAATAGTGTTTAGAGAAATATTGTACCATTCTTCATGGAGATATTGCGAAAGTTCTGGGAGAGATGCAGGTGGAGGATATCGATTCGTATTGAACTCTCTAAAATAGACCATGGCGGTTCAATGATATTGAGGTCGGGTGACTGTGCCGGCCAAGGTAGATGTTTAACTTCATCCTCGTGTTCATAAAACCATAATTGCACAAGTCCCGTTGCAGGGATGGGAGC